CCTTAATGCCGTTGAGAGTGTACACCTCGACGGCCGAGAGGAGAAACCCTCTCGGCGTCGAGAGTGTACATACCCTCAACGGCCGAGAGGGTTTCCCCTCTTGGCCGTTGAGAATGCGGTCTCGCGGCCGGGGGGATGGCCGTGGGGTGGGGGTTGATTTGGTTTATCGACCCCCAAACCCTGGTCGGTTTGGGAGGATCGACTCCCGAACCAACCGGGGGTTTTTATTTTTTTTTTTATTAAAAATATTAGGGAGTCGACTCCCAAACCGGTCGACGGTTTTGGGGGATCGACTCCCTAATTTCGGGGGTTTCGGGGTTTGGGAGTCGACTCTCCAATTTTGGGGAGTCAATTAACCAAGCCCCTAGATAGAAGAGTATGAAGAGTGGTTGGACCAACGGTGGGCCAGTTATACTAACCGTAGTGTTAGCTTTTTAAGCTATGCTACACAAAAGTTACTGTTAGCGGGAATTTTTGGCCCACGAACACTACATTATTTTTGAAAAAAAAACAAAAAAAACTTTAGTGTAGTGTTAGCTACCTTTAAAAAGGCACAACCAACACTACCCAAAATCATTTTAGTGAGATTTTAGAAGTGTTAGTGGGTGAACCCACCACACTACATGTTAGTGTAACTTTTTGCAAAGTTACACTAACAGTTAGTGTAGTGGTACCCTCAGTTACACTAACTGTTAGCGTAACTGGTGAAAAAGTTACACTAAATGTTAGCGTAACTGATTAAAATTTACATGACCACATGACTAGCATTAGAGATTGTTTGTCCGTACTTTTTGCAGGTACCTGGTACCTCCTGGGGGGTACCCCTCACACCCGCCAGGAGGTGCCAGGTGCGGTACTTGGTACCTATTTTTGTGAAAAATTGAACAGGTACCTAGGCACCTCTACAGGTACCCAGGTACCTCTACAGGTACCCCCTCACTTTCCTACCAAAAATCAAAATGATGGTGGCCTTCTACTCCAAGAACTCCAAGATCCAAGAAGGTACCTTGGCTGCATGGAAACAGGGATTCAAGGATAACAAGAAGTCTAACAAAAAGTCAAAAAGGAAGGTGGTGGTTTTGGATGACAATGAAGATTCTTCCAATTAGTTATAAGTTGTAGATAGTTTAAACTTTGCAATAAATTATTAAATATGAACAAATGAAAAAAGTGACTTGGGACTGATGTTTTACAATAAATATGAAAAAATAGAAAAGTAAGATTCTTCCAATTAGATTTAGATATACTAAAACAGGTATTAAAAAATGCCAAAAAAGTGACTTGTGAGTGATATTTTACAATAAATATGAAAAAATAATAATAATAATAAAGTGACTTGGGACTCTGGGAGTGAAACTAGGTGAAAAAGAGAGGGGGGGTACCTGAGGTACCTGCAACAGGTACCTTGGGTACCCCCCAGGAGGTGTCTGGTGCAGTACATGGTATCTATTTTCTTGAAAAAATGAACAGGTACCTAGGTATAAACAGGTACCTAGGACTGAACAAACAATCTCTAACTAGCATTAGTCTACCCTGAAGACAGTGCCTGATTGGGGGCCCTACATCCAGATCCCCTCAATTGATCATCATTTTTTTCAGTTGGTAATGGGGGCCACTCAATTTTAGCCCCCTGCCAATTTTTAACACTTACTTGTAAGACCACATTCTTCTGTCAGACTACCTTGAGATTATGGGTTCAATTCCCCCTCAGATCATACTTTACTGGGTTCCATTCCCACACTTGTTCAATTTCCACTTTCACATCATGTAGAAAGGGACGGGGGGGTGTAACCATGATGTATCACCAGAGTGTGGTGGAGCTGTTGGCATGAACCATGGCAACTACCACCCAACTAACCTTACAACCACAAGGGTCTGTAGCCTAGTTGGTAAAGGAAGCACTTATGTGACTTGGCATTGCTGGGGTTGTGAGTTCAAATCTCACCAGGCACATCCTCCGTTTGTTTGTCTCTACATCTTGTGCTGTAAGCTGTTCATTTTCTGGGGGATTGTGTGTGATCATAGGACATTGAAAATCATCACTATGGACCTTGGCTGTATCAGTTATATGGACAATTCATATAAATTGTCCATTGAAAACAGAAAACAGAGGAAGAGGGTTCAAGAGCATAAATTCTCACTTGACATGTCAATTTCTCTAATTGATGATTTACACTACACTACATGTGTAGTGTAACTTCTAACAAAGTGTAGCGTAACTAGGCATGTAGTGTAGTGTAGTGTAGCTTAATTTGGTATAAGTTACACTAAATGTTAGCTTCAAATCAGTTACACTATCTGACGGTCAAAATTTTGTTAGTGAAAAAAAAGTTACACTAACTGTTAGTTTAGCTGAGATTATTTGAAGCTAACACTACCAAAAAATTTGAGAGAAAAATTTACACTACACTAACAGTTAGTGTAGTGGGATTTGGCATCAGCTAACACTATTTTATTACATTTTGACTTCAGAAATGAATTCCTATGTTAATTTTAACCTGAGTCACCCCTACACACTTTTACGCTACTCTTCTCCTTCATAGACTTTGTAATATTTCACCATACCAACAGTGAGCCGCTACGCTACACTATGCTATTTGACCACTAACTGTTAGTTTAGTGGCCTTTTTATTTCCTGGAAATTCTGTAGTGTTAGCTGACGCTGTGGTCATTATTACTGTGTATGAAGGGAGAAAATTCAAAATTTTATTATTTATCAATCAAGGACTCAAGATATGGACAAATGGACGTCAGAAATGGAATCTACGGCCAATTTAACCCCTATTCACTCACTGGAACCACCTTCATATCTCTACTGGATCAGAAGTTACGCGGAATCAAGGATGTCACACGGAGAATCACAGGATCAGAGGTACTCAGCTGGAGGGTATATTGCATGGGGGTATATTGCATGGGGGTATATTGCATATTGCATATTGAATTCCTTTTATCCATATTGAATTCCTTTTATACTTACAGAACCACAAGTTGGCCACCAGTTGTACCAGTTAAATTCCCATTTATTCAGCCACAGAACACATGAATTCCTTTCTTACAGCTTGCATATAAAAGGGATGCATTGTAGATAGTCTAGCCAAAATCCCTCAGTATTTTCAGGTACAGGGCAGCTAAAATGCCTCATACAGGGGGTCCCTTACGGCTAAAATCCCTCATAATTTACTATATAAGGAGGCCTCTGCCTGCCAGTTGTTTCCCTCTTCATCCCACTCAGTACACATTTTTTTGGTGGGACACCTGTCACATATATTTATTACACAAGATGTTCACAAGTAGTACAGTTCACAGTTGAAATATATACACAGTTTCACAAACATTACACAGAAGAGCCAGTCCTTTGTTCCAGTCCTGGTTGAAGCATAGTGCTCCCAGACCCTTTGGGTTCAAGATCCACCTCTATTACATTATACATATACAGCATCAAGGAAGAACACAAGTATCAAGACATCAAGACGAGAAACAACTTCAACAGCTCAATCAATTCTTTGGACAACAAGATCAACCTTCAACAATTATACAACCATCTTTGGACATAATCCATTATCACCAACCAAACTGCCAAGCTTACCTTGGTGGTCTTGTTTTCTGATAATATAGAAAGGCAGAGTTTTCAGCTCATTCATCCCTTTCTCCATTCAGCAAAAAGGATCTTACAATCACTTTTTGAGTCTTACAACACTAGGTGAGGCACCAAATTTTGCCCAAATCTTTGCGGTAGGTGGTGGTGGGGAAGCCGAGGTTCACACTAGGATGAGAGCTTCAACTTCAAGCTTGGACAACACTCCAATCAACTCTATCTCCTTGGATCCGGATATTGTTGCACGATTGCAAGTATTCATGTACGAACATAATCCTTATGCAAAATTTTTCAAATCAGCTTTGGAGATCACTATGACAAATCAAACGACAAAACTGGTGTTTACTAGCGTCAAGTATGCTGGTAAAAACAACAAACAATATCATGAGCCAACAGTCAATGAAGTTGGATTCATAGTCTCAGTATCAGGTCTCATCAAAGATAAAAGACCAAACCAACTGAAAACTCATTTGGGACAGTTGAAATATATTAGCAATCCCCATTCAGCTTACTTCCCACTTTGCTACCTGCCATTTTTCCTCTATGGCTCCCAAAAATGGGAACCAAAATATAAAGGAAGTATTGGAAAATGTGAGCACAAAATTTTTCATGGAATACAGGACAAAGCTAACAAGTCTTTTACAGGTCAAAAAGTGTCACAACTTGAGTGGTTTGCATACTTGTCATTTGTCCGTCATGGCACTTTTTCAAGCATACTCCTTGGCCGTGCCCTATTCCAGGAATTGTTAGTTGATACTGCAGCACAAAGGAGAGGCAAAGGCAAAGGTTTCATTCTACAGGCACCAATTTCCAGTGGTGGCCTGTTTTGCTATGACTATCAACAAGAGCCATGGACAGAAATTAGGGAAAGTGGTTGTTGTCAGCCTCTATGCTACTAACCTGAGTGGGGTTTGCTATGAGTGTTAACAAGAAGTGTAAAGATATGGTTTATTCGTGGTAGAAATCCCTCAACCTGTAAAAGAAACAGGGAGGAGTCAGTGAGGAATGGTACTTCTACTGCTGACTCATCCAATTATTCAATTGGGCATCCAGATCAATCCTGTTATGTGGATTAATAGGCTTCCAATGTGAGGAATTCTTCTACTCACTTGGGATCAAGTCTTTTAACAACAATCCAGATGAATAAGTGTATGTACACTTAAGGACCAGAATTGTTTAACCAGGGGGATAATTCTTTATGCAATATAGATAAGTAGAAATGCCTTGAATCTGAGCAAAGTAAATATATTTAGGTCTAAGGTAGCTGGATTGTGATGTTATTGGTGGGTTGGATCACTAATAATCACGGTACAAGTGTTGGTTTGATGCTACTAGAATTTCCTGGGGGGAAAAGGTAGGAATCAGGGCTTGTCAGCCTGCTACTAATCAGAGCCAGCCTGAACATAGCATTTACTTATTTAGAGATATTATTACTTACATATGTACATACAATTAAAATATTAAAATACACTATTTAAATAAGTTGAAACACTATAATAGAGACATTATTACACAATACACTTACATTGTAAATATTTCATGAGAAAAACCTTTAAATAATTAAATAAACTATGAAAAATAACACTTTTAACCAGAATCTTCTAATAACTTCTGAACCTTAAGTATAACTTAGAATATTATTGCAGATTCTGAATCTACATGCAAAATAACCTAGGGTAGCTCACCAAGTGTACCCCTGAATTATTACTCCTTCACTTACTTTGTAGTCCTTGAGTGATATTGGACCAAAATACACTGTAGACCCCTCCAGTTACATCATACTACATGTTGTAAGGGGGCTACATGTGTAATTAAGGTTCATGCAGTTCGGGAAAAATCTACAAACAAGGTTTACATCATTGAAACCTTAACTACATGAGCACAGACTACAGTATTAAATTGTTTGGGATGATCTGTGGCCCTTTTTGGCCCAATTGGGACAATTACTCTCTTGAGGATCAACCAATGCATCATGCAGTGCTGACCTAGGATACAGGAGTGTTACAGTTTCGTCAGAAAACCCTGTAAACATGGTTACAAGCATTACATCATCTCCTTGGCACCTGTAACCAAGCTCTACAGGTGCTACAGATGATCAAAAGCTCCCATAGGCTTAGTAGGAGAGTTGTAGCAACTAGAGAGACTCCTGAGTTTGCCTCCAGAGGCCCAGAATGGGTATTTAAGAGCCCCTTCTTCCCCCTGAACATTGATTCCCCATATTCATCATTACTTACCAGCATAAACCGTCATCAACAACCAGTTTCAACCTGCACATTGGCCCTGTTCCTGCTGTTATCAACCTGAATTTCACTCCACCATCCAACACCTGTTCCCCAGCACTCTTCCAACACCTCTCACTCATCTTTCTGAGCGCTTCAAGAACAGTCCCCCTCTCCTGAAGACCTCCTTGGCTTAGAGATAAGTACCAGTAAGTATTATCTCTTTGTTTCTTCAGTAGTAGACTTTTTCTGGGTTTACTCCTCTATTATAAAGGACCAGAACTTCAGTACCACCCCTGCAACTCAGGACCTGAATTAGAGGGCACAGTAAAAAACCCCTGCAACTCAGGCCCCTCTGTAAATAAAAACTTAACAGTTTTTATTTACTATTTTTCTTTTATTTTACACACACTTCCCCCACTTTTCACGTTTCACCCACACGTGTACACATCCCATTTTTACTCTTGCAGCTAGTGTAGCTAGAAGAGTTCTGCTCTTGGCATCACTTAGCCTGACAGGGCTCCTTAAATATTCTACAAGGGGCTCAGGGGAAGAGGAGAGGCCCTCAGGGCACTAGGGAGCTTCTTAGCAGCTCTAAAATTTTGTTTAAGGATGGGAGCTGCAGCTGTGCAGTGCTATGCATGGGTGGAAGGTCCTAGGACATGAGATCATACATGCATAATTGAGTTTTGTGGCCTATTTCTCACGTAGTTGAAAAGGCTACAGTTACTGTGCATGGGCTGTGCAATTGTAGAGTTAGTTGCATACGTGTAACTCTGCTTATGCAAGCTTGTGATCATGAGAAATGCATGTCCTTCATGCATAATTCAGTCTTGCATGTAGAATTTGGGCTCCTTTCCCGTGTAGGCTACTTTGAATTATGCAAGCTTTGAATTAGAGCACAAAAGGGTCCTGATGACGCCATCCAAGAGGGTTATGATGCAATCTGATGCCCTGATGATGTGATCAAGGATGGGTAAGCTTCAGATAAATCTATATAGCTTATTCCTCATCCATTTCACTCTTCTACTAGCTAATTCTTATACCTATGTAATTAGTTTATGGCTTATAAAATATGTACATAATGTATAAGAATAAATATTGTTTGAATACTTTATTCTAATGACATTTCTGTGAAA